TGTGTAACTGCCTCGAGGGTGCTTGACCATTTAACACAACGTGGTGCGATCATCCCCCTTGCGCGGAGTGAGGGTTCTCGACCCCGCATAACATGATCTCCTCGACCACCATTATGGTGCCGCCAAAAAAAAACAGAGGTAAAATAGAAAGCGGTATCCTGGTTGCCGAGTTCACGAAGTAANCCCCTGCGGGTAACAGGCTCAACAAATCAGTTTGGTAGCTGTCTTGTGTCTTATATATGTTATGTTGGGAAGGTGCAGACGGATGATGTTTTGCTTTTTTGGAAAGACAGTGCTGCATGCACTCTTCTCGAGTAAACAATCGAAGACAAACAGCGCAGGAGGGGTGGGTGGGGAGAGGAACCCTTCTGTATGAGTGACCACGGATTGGAGCTCTCGTCCAGTAGAAAAGCTGTGTGTGAGCGCTAATTTGAAGTGATTGAGCATGTAAGCGCCGCCCTCTACTTCCGTGTTACGATCCTCGCTTGAGACACACATTACATGCGTTTCCCATGGCAAACCCGGGGATCCTTCACGGTGTATCCCTTCCCCAGGTGCGGAGATCGACCGGGAGCAGCGTTGCCCACTCGACCCAGCTCATGATGACCCTGACTATCGGCACCGTCATCGGCCTTGTCTTCGCCTGGCAGATCGGTAAGGGATGGCAAATTGCAATTGGTTGGATGAGAGATAGAGCTGAGACGAGAAATAGCAGCGAAGAGCCTGCGCTGTGCCGGGGCGATGTTGTTGGCGTCGTTGTTGTTTTGGCGATCCCGCCAGTCGATGGAACAGAACGAGAAACAAATTCGAATGATCCCGACACAGTACCTCTGCAGATACTATCGAACTAGGCGCGAACTGTGCTTTTTTGAGTGTAATCGATGTGCCTGGTATGTGTGAATATCTGGGCAATAGTGGCCATCGTTGGCCAGTCCTTGCCGAGCACTCTGTTTCATTTGTCGGGAGATTCCATCCGACCCCAAAAATCTCCGCATGAATGTCATGCTGGCCTCTTCCTAACCCTACAGGACTGCTGTCGATGGCCATGATCCCCTTGATCGCCGCAGCGGGAGTTATACAGATGTCCATGCTTACCGGAGGCTACGGTGACAACGACGTGAGTGCTTATGTGTTCGGTATCAACCATTCTACCCCCATTTTTCGGCAGTATTTTCGCCTTTGTCATCCCCAAAGCCAAAATACAACGCACACGATCAGCCAACATACAACACACACGATTACCCGAGTAAAATGATTGCGTTTTTTTAACACCGTTGTATTTAGTCTATGGTGTGCCTCATGGCAAGTGTGCCGCATGGCCGCTTCCTCAAGAACAGGATGTTCGGTTGACTTCGATCCACGACTCACATGTGCTCGAGGTCCAGGCTAGCTCAAACACACCGTTTTGCTGCTCCACCGCATGCCGCACATCGATCTGATTGGCCGACGAAACGGTGTGACCGGTAGAGGACCGTACTGACGGAGGCGAAAACAATCTCTTTGTTCTTGTTGACAGGGTCTTGACGGTGGCGGAGGTGCCGCGGGTCTGCTAAGCTCCTCCCTTCAGGGGATGACCACGGTGACCGCCTTCAACATGCAGGAGAAGCTCGCACAGGACTACAAGCAGGCGTCCGAGGTGTGCATTCAACAACTACCATCTTACCGAGAGCTGGAAACTGTTGGCCCACTATGTTCCCTTTCTACGATGGTTTGTATCGAAGAAGTGACCACCATCTTTGTGTGTGCTCATCCAGGCTACTCTGGTGCCAGTCTACACTCCTGTCGCTCTATCTGAGTGACGCATCAGTCGGGGTCACGCAGACTGCCGCAGAAAACGTTGTATGTTTGTGTATCGTTGGTTTGTTTTTAGCCCCACCTTTACTGAGCAGAGACCGGAACAATTTCTAGTGTGAAGACAACAACACCAACAGCAACATCCGTTTCCTCCAGCGATACTGCTGTGCGTGTTGCGTGTTTGTGTTTTCGCCTATCTCCCATGTTGCTTGAACGCCCCACCTTTCCCCCTGTGGAATTCCTTCGCGCGTACGTGCTATATTTCTTCCCGCCGCCCTGCCCCTCCCCGCCCCAGAGTTCCCTCGACGCCCGCAAACGCCGCGGCCTGATCGCCGGAGCGGCGTTCGGCTACAGCCAGGCAATCATCTTCTGGGTGTTCGCGCTTCTCTTCTACGTGGGCGCAGTGCTCGTCGACGACGGTACGGTCGAGTACAAGAACTTCTTCACGGCAATGTTCGCGGTTATCTTCGGAGCCTTCGGGGTTGGACAGGTGAGCGGTGCCACGGTACTGCTGGCGGGGATACTGTGTGTATGGGGGGGCATACTACTGGGTGGGGGGTATTGGACTTCGGACGTGTGGGGGGGAATATTTACGTCGAGGAGTTGGTTTGTTGCGAGGAAGCAGCCTGCGCATGTCTGGCGGTGAGCGAAACAACCGTTGGTTGTTCTGGTGCTCAGCGGTGAAGAATGATGGCTACGAAAACCCTAGACAGGGTCTGGAAGAGGCAGAGACAGTATAGAGGGGGAGAAGAGACACACAGAGAGCACAGGGACGGCGAGAGGTTCCCCGCCGACATGGATGTTCCCGCCGTTGAAACCCAGGACCCTGTCCTCTGACGTTCCCCCCTCCCCTCTTCCCTTTGTCTCTCTGGTGTTTCAGATCAGCTCTGACGCGAAAGATGCAGGGGAAGGAGAACAGGCGGCGGCGAAGATCTTCCGCCTTACGGACGAGCCCCTGAACATCGACCCCTTGTCCGAGGAGGGAGCCAGGCCCGTCACGACCAACGGGGCCGTGGAGTTTAAGAACATCTTCTTCGCCTACCCTTCCCGGCCTAACATGCAGGTCCGTCGTGATGGCGGTGCTGGTATTGGTTGCTTGGTATTTTTGTTGGTGCTGCTGGCGGTGCTGGTGGTGCTGCAGCGTGTCGATTGCGTAGCTTTGATTGTTGGTGTTGTTGCTGCTGCTGCTGCTACTGCTACGGTGACCGTGCTGAACAATTTCTTCTTGCCACATGCTGACTAGCTTAAGAACAGGGCCGAGGTTTGCATTCGGAACCCAGGCGAGTCCCCTACGTCGCCCCCCGCGTGCCACCGATATATTCCGCGTGCCCCCGACTGTTTCTCCCTAGCAAACCTTCATATCCACTCACTTTCAAGTGAGTTCGGGCAAATCAACGAAAAATGGCACGTTGAGATGGTTCAAGCCCCGAGCACCAACACAATCGTGCATTAAGTGCGTTAAGGAGAAGTCAAGACACCGCGGCATCGATGGACAGTCCTAACAGCCCGCCCTTACTCACATGGTTATAAATTCCATCAGTCACCTAACTTTAACCCTAACCCTAACCCTAATCCTAACCCTAGATCTACGGATCGGACAAGTACCCCCAAGGGTTCTGCTTGAACGTAGCGGCGGGCGAGACTGTGGCGCTCGTGGGTCCCTCCGGGGGGGGAAAGTCCACCTGCATGGGGCTGCTGCTGAGGTTTTACGAGGCTTCTAAGGGGAGTGTGACGATCGATGGCCGCGACATCAAGGAGGTCAACGTCAAGTGGCTTCGCACGCAGGTGTGCATGCACATGAGGATTGTGTGTTTGTTGTTTAGGTTGTAGCAGTATTACGTGCTTCCCGCTCGGCTTACTGTTATTGTTGTTGTTGGTGCTGCTGCTGCTGTGGGTACACTTGTTGTTGTTGATGGCGGTGTTGTTGTGCCTGTTACCTGGTGTTGACCATGTCACACCCAAAGACCACGCACGTGTAAATCACGCCACCTCCTCCGCCACGCCTAGCGCTCTTTTCGTCTGCAACGATCCATGACCTATTCCTTTCGTTTCTTTACTGGACGCTTTTCCCCTCCTCCTCCTCCTCCTCCTCCTCCTCCTCCTGCTCAGATTGGCTACGTGGGCCAGGAGCCGGTGCTGTTCCAGGGAACGATCCGCGAAAACATCGCCAAGGGGGAGCCCGGCGCAAGCGATGAGAGAATCCAGGAGGCTGCCAAGGCCGCCAACGCCCACGACTTCATCATGGACTTCCAGGTTCGTACTATCCACTGCGGCAGGCACTGCTGCCGGTTGAAGCGCGGTGTTTCAACGTTACGACCATTTTTCTGTGTCCCTTTTTTTATTCTTTTTCACCTGGTCATCTCCTGGTTGCTGGTTGGCTTCGGGAATGGGCAGCGGGTCGCCAAAATGCGACTCAGCGTAGATTCCGTCCGCCGTAGTTACGCCGGTGATGCACGGGTGTCATTTGTCCCTTCACTAGCATCTCCCTTTTTCACTTACCCCTTGGCCTTTGTTGTCTCCTTATCCTCGGCAATGCACACAATTGGTAATTCCCGGGTGTGCGCGCCTCCGTATCGGTTGGTCGTCTGGTGATTTCACGGTGCCCTGCAGGAGGGCTACGAAGCTGACGTGGGCGAGAAGAGCGCTCTCTTGTCCGGGGGCCAAAAGCAGGTAAGATCAGAACATCCCCGAGTATCTTAGGTTGCGGAAGATATCACGCACCTGGACCGATTTCCACGCAAAGTACAATGTAAAACACGGTGCGTCTCATGTCAATTAGAAGTACTGCTGTAGATCGTGTGGTCATGTCCTGCGATGTGCAAAGTTCGACGGAATATGCTACGGACACTGTAGCATGTACACATTCGCAACGTACGAAGCTCCGTCTTCGTTTGCCCTTATGCTCATGCAAGGTGCCTCTAGGAATGACGGTGTCAAGTGTTTGCTAGTGTACACCGTACCGGACTTCTATATTGTAGTAGCTGATGGCGGAACCCTCCCTCCCCTTCCCTTTCGCTGTTGACGTGGTCCCT